TGCAACAGTGTGTGTGTGTGTGTGCGTGTGTGTGTGCGTGCGCGCGCGCGTGCGTGCGTGCGCGTGCGTGCGTGTGTGTGTGTGTTGCGTCTATGGATCATCATCAAAACAGATTTGTAGCATTCCTATCCGTTCATTGACAGAAATGCCAGTTAGAAAGATTACCAAATGACCAAAAAGAAAAGAAAACCTAAATCTCACTGTCAGTCGCAGCAATATCGTCAAAAGTATTTGTCAGTCAAACTAATTTTATTTGTAGAAATAATCATATGTTGGTGTGTGCAAACAAGATATTGCCAAGGGAAGTAGTTGAGCTTAGTAAATTATAACCAAAGATCCAGATTAAAGCTGGCTGATCTAAGGTGCTCAACCAAAACGTGACAGAGAATAACAGAGAAAATCTGCACGCAGAAAAGACATTGTCTTCGTTAGCCAGTGAGGAGCTGTTGCTGAGTCACAGTGATCTGATAAATGGCGAATGGCGTGCAAGGATCAGTTTACATCTGCATTGTGGATTATTACATTTCCTAATGTTAACACAGATGGCATGGAGGCATTAATCAGTAAGTCAAAATCAACCTAAATAATTCTGAATTTACTATAACCCCAATGATGGATGCAGGTGTTCCCAAAACTGTACTTCAGATAATTGGACCAAATGGGCTAACACTGGTTTGATCTTATTGTACACTCCACAGCCCTTGTAGTCACGGCAGCACAGATCTTGGCAGCTGTTTTAGCCATTGGATGCATTGACTCTGGTATACCTGTTGTGGGAACGTAGGTTATCACTGGTTTGAACTCATAGTATTAGATGTAGTTTAGCCATTTATTGGTTCGGTTGGCTTTAAATTGACAGATGGAAACAGACAGACAAGGGCATTTGTTGGTGTGGGATAGATATCCTATTTTTTACTGGTCACGTTACAGAGTTTTCATCTGACCACAGCAAGACTGTCAGAGACCGAAACAGTCACTGTCCAACAGAGCTCAAAACATGAGCAGCCAGCACACACACACTGCTCTACATTTCCCCCTGCACCAACACCCTGTTGTGTGCTGATACACACCTGCACCACCTCGTGCCGGTGCATGCTCAGCAGCAGCGTCGACTCAGTCTGTCGCCCTGGCTGGGATCCAGAGCCAGCTTTGGCCCCAGCTGACAGAGTGCTGTTGGTGTGAGTTAGGAAAGGCTTTAACAGAGAGTCACTGAGAAGGAGGGGGGGAGAGATCAAAATGAGGAGGAGCGGGTGAGACAGGAGAGCGAGGTGTGTCTTTGTTTGTAATAGTGGTAGTCACACAATGTCCTCTGTCACTGCGTTAGTTTATTAAAATAAGGAACAGCACTAAACTCATACTGTCAGTTCTGCCGCAGTGCAGGTGTATGATTGAAAAGGGTTTGAAGAAGCAGTTTTTTAAATAACACGTGACTTTTAACAACCTCTATTGGCAACTTGTAGGAACTGCACCACAGATCAAATGTGTATCCCCTGTGCAAGTCTGTGGCAAAACCCTGACACTACTTTGTATAATAAAAAGGAATTGAAATTTTTAGGTGTATTTTCACAAACACACCAAGGTTTTGGCAGCACATTTACTGGTAAACTCTGGAGGTGTACTTGCTGGAAAATAATGGGTTATACATAACTTAAAAATAACAGGGTGTTTCCTTTATCAGCAGGTAATCAAATGTGTACGTACGCTTTTAGCCTATAATAGTCCAAAGTCATGTCATAGCTCATCAGAAAACGCATAACCACATAAAACATAGAAAATACATTGATATAGAATAGAAACAAAGCAGGATTTTAAGTCTCTTCTTTAAGCATTATTTGGAGGCATAAATAACAAAAATAATTGAGTTCATCAGCAGTGGTAGGAGCAAAACAAAAATAAAAGACAATACAACACAAAAGGGAAAAAAAGAAAGGGTAACCACACTCAGTCATCCAGATCAGCCGGTTATCCCAGTTGACGTTTCAGATTTAAGATAGCTATAGTACCCATATTAGCTTTAGCAGCTAACAGCTGTGTAGAGAAGATGGTTAACAGTATTCCAACGTCCTGTATGGGCCATCTTCTGTTATGTTCTCAAATATAGTTTCATTTTATTGTTTTATTTTTTTAAAGGCCAATTTCCCTAAAACAGCTGGGCTCTGTAGTTTTTAGATAACATTACTCAAACAGGTAAATTGGGAATTTGTTTGGGTTTTAGCCACAAATGAAAACACAATTGTGAGGGTAAATTCATATTTGGTTTTGCAATTTTTATGCAAATTGTTGACAAAATAAAAATAAGACATCACTAGACCTATCCTGTATGTAAGTATGTAATTAAAGCTGTCCTGCACTAACCCTGAAAACTGCAGTTGTTTGGTCATGGCCACTGAGGTTTACCTCAAGCAGAGAGATTATTTCGGCTGTCAGCAGCTTATGTCTGCCCCCCTCCCCTGCTGTTTGGCTCCTGTGTACCACTGACAGCAACATACAATAGGGAAACACACAAATACACTCGGACTGTTTTATACAGGCAATAAGCAGTGAAGAGTTATAACGTGAGACAATCGAGAATTACATCATGGTTGGTGACTTTTTTTGATAAAACTTTGATAATTAAATCTGAAAAAAAATCTGCTGCAGATACTGTGTGTGTGTGTGTGTGTGTGCGCGCATAAAAGGTGTCTCTTCCATTTCAAGTGTGAAATAGAAACAGATATCCTGGACCTTTTTAAGGTTTTTTGCAATATCTTATTAGCTGGATTAGCAGATTACAATAAATGTTACATTAGTAATGAAACAGTTATCATCGTGCTTCTGATAATCATAACAGTGATGTTAGCAGGAGGGAGAAAACTGAAAGAGACACAGTTATGTTTGTTGTTTTGTCACTTCAGCTTTTTCTCGTGGCTCTTTTTACCTTGGATCATTCGGTGCCTTGAGTTCAAGCAGCAAAACCGACGCGTCGAAAGACCGACGCGTCAAAATGGTCATAGGTGTTATTAACATGCATTTTTTTAAATAGCTGTATGAATATGTTAGTCGATGAATGGGTAGTTTACATTCTCACTGAGAGTCTAGGTTTAGTATCTGTGTAATATTCCAGAATTATATTTTTCATAAGATGTTAAAGTCGAGACATAGAAAGTACACAGCTGCACGTGTGAGCTGAGGCTGTTTCATGCAGCTCTTGTTGAAGGCTTTCTAAAAAGTCATGCCTTTTTTATTTTAGTTTTTGTACGTATGGTTGTCTAATTTATTCTTAAGTTTTCTTTTTGAATGTTACACAGTAAAATGAATTGGACTTTTTTTTGTGGGGGGGCTATTTTTGCTTTTTTTCTACTTGACGACTAGCTTTTATTTTTGACTAACCTGATGATCTTCAGCAGTATAAAGAAATATATCCATCAGGTTTACTAAATATGCTAGTTCTTATTCTTAGTTCACATAAATGCTGTTGAACAGACATTTCCCCACAAATAGTTTTCCTCTCCAATGAAAATGTGTTAATATTAGGTCACTTTTATAAAGCTCCACTTGCATGTCCAGTTACCTTGTTGGGTTTGCTGGATCCCCACTTGATTTTCTTTTTATTTGTACACTATTTGTTGAATTGTTTCTGCTGTACAGTAGAGTGTGTTTTTACATAGTATTTGACGTGTAAAAGTCTACATAGCAGTCCTCTTTCATTATTCTGTGCAAAAAACAAATCTGCCAGGCAGCTGTGGATAGAAAACTGTTTTTATCTGATGCTGGAGTTTTTCTTCTGCTGTCCATACAGTCTCATTGTCTGTATACATTAAACTACGTGACACATGCATTGTAACGCCTCAGATGAACCTGTACAGGCTTCAAGAAACGCTCTGTGTTTTGATTTTATTGAACTGTATTCATCAGGACCTGAACAACATACAACATTTTCCACAATGTGACAGAAGGCAAATTGTTGTGGGGGTTTTTTATTTAATGTAAATGAATGTCACCATTCTCAGCAAAAATAAATCTTTGTCCTTTGGTTTAAAATACAGATTTGTCAGTCTCGTTTTTTGGAGGCGGATGTATGTTACAACAGTGATATCATGAGTCCACATGTAACTGTACACTGGTGTTACCTCTGAAATAAAGCCAGTTAAACAGTCAGCAGTTACAGCCAGTGCAGTGGATGCCTCCTAAACCATTTCATCTTAATCGCAGTGGTTGAATTGTACAGCCAGAGCTTGATTAGAGATGCAATTGGAGTAAAATGTAGCTGTCTCCAGATGTGACATTTGGGTAAAAACAACATAAATGCAAATAAACTAATCAGTACAAGAATAAAAGTATATATACACAAATAGAGCCTGTGTTTATCAAATTGATGAAGTAAAAATCCTTCACCTTTACTGCTACTTACAAAGTTTTTGCTATTTATCAAGTTACTTAAAAAAAAAAAAAAAAATGCTCTGAAATTTAACAGACCCCCAAAGTGTCCTAAGCTGGTTTAAGATCCTGTGACAGAGACTAGCTCACATCTGTTTTGGAGTGACTGTACTAAATTAGGTCTTTTTTAGATTGTTTACTTCACATGGGAATTGCTGGGAAAACACTGGACATATTGGGGGATTTCACACGAATAAAATACACTAAAATAAAAAATGTCTTTGCTAAATAACATCACAGGCCAAAAAAAGCATGTTTTTGAAGATTAAACAATATGGCAGATAAAGGTTAAATCCTTGTGTGTGATTGGCTTCTGCCCAAAGCATACATGTGATTATTCATGTAATACGAGAAGTGCTCTTAAACGTTATTCTTATGTAAGTAGGAATAATTTGCTTGATCTATTTTTATGCTACTAATTCATTCCTTCATTGTCCTGCTTCCTAAATCAACAGATGTACCCACCATTTCCCTCCACAAATGTGAAAGACATAACCACTGGGAATAATGGCAATATCTTGCCTCTCATGTTGATGACCTAGTTTTAGACCAAGCAGTGTATAAAGAACATAGTTAAACAATCAATGAATCTTATGCATTTAACACAAACAGGTCGTGGCCCTGTTATCTTCTTACCTTTTCTTGAATAAAAAGAAATGAAAAAGATTGGACAATCACCTTTCCCATCCTTGCCCATCTCATTCATTCCAAACTGAGACTTTGAGGTCTTAAAGGCTCTTATTTTGTATTATGTGTTTTGTAATTTGTAGTATTCAACTGCGTCTACCTGCTTTCTCTTACAGAACAATGTAATCAGTCAGGTTGTGACGGGGATGCACTTTACAGTAGGTCTGTACTACAGGAAGGTACTGAGGGTGTTATCCACTGTGGCAAGATGCAAGTACTCAGGATTGCCGCTCTCAGACTCCACCTCTGATTCTTGGTTGTTGTGGTCCTCCTTGCGCTGACTCGAGAGCGGCCTCTTTCTCCGGACCGAGCGGCGAGAGCGGCGCTCCAGGCAGGCAAGGATCATGTGGGCGAGGTCCTGCTGCAGCCGCTGGAAGTTCTCCCTGGAAAAGCAGGAAGCAGCTTCAAGTCAGGCTCAAGTATCCTGTCAAGCTACAGTAAATGTGCAGTAGAATACCAAACACGTGTCCTAGGGTCAAATTTGAAGTCGAAATGTACAAAGCTGGTAAAACAAATAAGACACTAACCTAGGATTATTATCTATAATATAGAAATATTAATTTTAACAGGACAAATAAGTATAAAAACAAATGAGACATAACATCTTAATTAGTAGAACAGAGAGAGATTTTGCTTCCAGTCTTTATGCTAAGCTAAGCTGACTGGCTGCTGACTGCAACTTTATATTTATTGTACAAACATGAGAGTGCTGTCAATCTTGTTATCTAACTATTGGCAAGAAGTTAAAACAAGCACATTTCCCAAATTTTACATTTTACTGACTGTATTTTTTTAAAATCATTCAGCTTTAAAGAAAAAAATTATGTTGTGGAGAGTGGGAATATAAATCTTTATATATTCCTGGAAAAGAGAAAGCCTCTTGTAACCTGCTCACAATGATCCTAATGTGACATTTACACCCTCAAACACATCCAACAAATTTCAGCAGGTGGAGGGTTTGCTTACGTTGTGGGGGGAGTTGGGAGGTCGTAATCTTCGCCCGTCTCACCTGTCAACCAGTAGGTTGTCTCTGTGCCTTTACCCTTGGAAAAAACCCACATTAAAACATTAAAACATTTTACATCCATGTGCAGCGGTTCAAGTCTGCAGCCATTCATACCTCAATCTGTGCCTCTGGATTCATTTCAAAATGGCTCATTTGTCTGGTATGTTAGTAGTAGTAGTAGTAGTAGAGTAAAGTTAATAAATCTTTACCTTCAGATACGTTTCTCCTCTCATTTCATACTCAAACTTGCAGTCTGTCCTCTGAAGGATATTTATAGTGGGCTGGCTGACGTGGATCCGCAGGGCTGGAGGATATTATAAGATAAAAACAACAGGCATCATTTGTTTTTTACCCAAGCTTCGCTGTTTGAATTAATTTAATTATGTTGATTGGTAGGGTCTGTAATTGCACATGAGTAATGGGCAGCACATCGCTCTTGCAACTCAACCATACTAGTTGGCATCATGAACGTCAGTGTAAATCACTTTGCTCATTAAATGTCTCCTGGTATGCATATATTTATTTGTGTACTCACGGTGTCCTGTAGACTCCATGCGAGATGCCGTGTTGACTGTGTCTCCAAATAAACAATATCTGGGCATCTTTATCCCCACAACACCTGCTGCACAGGAACCTGGACACCAATACATTAACACACAAATATTCAGTCAGTTTAGACAGACAGAAGATCAGATGTGCAAGGATTCTGAAAATGAATGCTCTTATCTATGAAGGACCTTCAAATCAAATGAAATGACAGCAGATCAAGTCGTTTCAGATGTACAGGCAAAGATTTTGTGCCATCTACCTGAGTGCACACCGATGCGTATCCACACAGGGATACCAGGCAGGTGTCGGAGCTGGAAGGTACCCATGAAGGCCAAGATGTCAAGCGCCATGCGACAGATATCCACCGCGTGCCTGTTCCCATTTCGCTTCGGAAGCCCGGAGGCCACCATGTAGGCGTCACCAATCGTCTCCACCTGCGGGTAGATAGATGAAATGATGATGTCTGCGTTCTGTGCTGGCTGTCTTTCAGTCTATCCGTCTGTTCCACCCGTGTCAATACCTTGTATACGTCGTGGTGGTCAACAATGCTGTCAAATCCCTTGTAGATGTCGTTGAGCATGTCCACGACTTCCATCGGTGTGCTGTACTGGCACAGAGTGGTGAAACCGACTATGTCACTGAAATATATTGTCACTTCATCGTACAGTTCTGGTTCCACCACGCCGGTCTCCTTCAGGCTCTTCACCACCGGGCTGCACAGAGAGAAACGTACAAAGACAGACAGAACAGGATGATCCACATGTGCCTTCATTCCAGTTCGAGCTAAACCACCAGTTCCCAAAAGTCCTATAATTCTACTGTACGATCAAGTATTTGCATTGAACACCAAAACCAATTCTCTACTGGAGTACATGTTTGGTTTTGGTGTCTGTGCTCTCGGGCCAGTATCTAAAAGATGTGGTGTGCTCCTTCAAGTGTTAACAGACCCAGGAAGCAGCATGAAGTTGAGGCAGTCTGCTCTGTCCCTCTCAGCTTTGTAGAGGACTGTTCTCTCCTCCACCAGGTACTCCAGGTTTCTGGAATACATCTGCAGCCGTCTGATCATGTTATCCATGTAGCTCTCATTGTCCTGGTTATGAATTTTACTAAAGCACAAGGGAAGGAAAAAACCTTCATTAAAGCCAACTGCAACACATTTATTAGAGCTTCTATAGGTTAAATTTGGCTACGTACACCAATCCCATAAAGACAGTGATTACCTGATGATTTTCCCCAGACAGTTTTCTACCTTCCTAAAGTCGGGTCTTTTTTCTGGATCCTCATCCCAACAGCTTTTTATCAACATGTATACCTAGGAGACAGAAGACACCAAGCTTTAAAGACTTATCCGACAATACACACACAATCACCGATAAAACTGGCATTAACTCACCTCTAATTCTTTCTCTGAAGCTGTCTCAAAGTTAAGATCAGGTCTGAAGTAGGACATGATGACCTTTGACAGTTTTTCTGTTGGGATACACAGACATTAATTTCAGCCAAAAAGTCACTTACTATATCTCTGAGTGTGAGTATCAAAGCAAAATACTGGCTTTGGAAAATCAAGCAATTAAATGGCTGCCTCTTGAATTAATTCATTTGATGTGAATTCACCTTGTGTGTCTCTCAACATCTCATTTTGCATCTGTTCGTTTAAAGATAAGGACTGTTTATGGACAGTTTGATATGTTTCTGTTGGATAAATAAGGACTGTTATTTGGAATATGGACTCATTTATGTTTATTATTCTTTAAAAACATATATGAGGCTTTCCATGCAGAGAACAACAGAGGATAAATGTGTTGATTTTAAGGGAGAGTTGAAATAAAATATAATGCAGGATGAGAAAACAATTGAAAGAACCTCCCCTGAACTCAGCAAAAAGAAGAAAATATCCTCCCCCCCTTTCTCACTCCTTTTCTAATAACATTCATACAGTCCCTTAAGAAGAAGAAGAGTTTAATTATTTTTATTTTCAAGGGCTCAGTGTGTGAATGTGGGGGTGGTTGTGTAGGTGTGTTTCACCTGCACGGTCGGAGCAGCACTTGGTGTAGAAGGTGTTCTTTCTGAGAACAATCTCCTGAGCAATGATGGCAAAGCTGTAGACATCTCCTTTCTGAGAGGTGCCCTGTTTCCTCAGGTGCTCCGGAGCAGTCCACAAGTCTGATAGGAGGAGGAGAAAGGAGAAGAAAGTGATGAAAGTGAAGTAATGAACACTTAGTGAAGGATGAGGACTGTAGTTGTAGTACCTCTGCCGGGGCAAAGAAAGGTGTTGCAGCCAAAGTCTGTGATCTTCACCACCATGCGGTTGTCCACCACACAGTTGGTGGACTTGAGGCGTCCATGCACCTGGATTTCACTGGCATGGAGGTAGGACATGCCCTGCACAGAGAGGAGGAGGAGATGAGAAGGTTTAGATTAAAGGCACAGTAAGTGATCTTTAATGACCTCTGCTGGCGGCCAGGGGGACTGCAGCAACAGTTCCTGTTGATGGATGGGTGTAACCTATATCAAACATTCTGCTTGATATAAACCTTGTTAACCTCAATCATACAGTTAATGCTATTGTACTCAGTTCGTGTTATGGCAATTGTTGGGGCTAAGGCATCAGTAACACATTATCGATTACCTTTCTCATAACTATGTAGTGTGAAGTATGATTTTTTTTTTTTTATCACAGACAATGTGGCTGTATTAGACACAGGAGTTTCCTGCTCCTTCAAGTTGTATGGAAATCTAGGTTCTACTTTCTACAAAAGTAACAAAATTCCAGTTTAGGAAGCAACAACTGGAAATGACTGATTATATTCATTTATACAATGTAATTAGTCCTGTTTTTAATACTAAAAATGTATCTGAGTACTGAAAAAATCCCTGACACAGCTACTACTATTGAATATGTCATCCATGTTGTTAAACTGTGATAACATGCTAGAACATATGGCGCCTACTCTTCAGTCAATCATAAAGCTCTCTCCGATATCACGTGCCGGCAGTATATCACTTCAGTGTGACGTAATGTGACGTTCAGCAGCGGAGCGCCGAGTTTCTGTCTCACCTTGGCGATGTCGTACATGACGGAGATCTTGAACTCCCAGTCCATGAAGGTCTCCTCTGGGTACGAAACCTTGTCATTCAGCACATACTGGAGGAAGAAATGGACAGAGGGTATGATTGTGGTAAAATGATTGTAATCTGAACTCATATTTCATCTTTTATTTCTTGTTCTGTAAGCTACTGGTATTCAGAATAGTCTTTTGATATATGCAAACTGAACTTGAACTGGACGTGTGCATGCCATACGTACCCTGAGCGACCCCCTCTCTCCGTACTCAAACACCCCGAACACACCCTCATCAAACTTCACTGTGCCATAAAACTTAGTGAGGTTGTAATAGTCGATTTGCTGGAGCTGCGGAGAAGAGAGTAGGAGGGGGCGTCAAGACATGGAATGAGTAAAACCACAACAAAAACCACCTGATGGGTGTGTGTGTGTGTGTGTGTATCTTACTGCATTAAGTTCTATCATCTGGGTCTCGTTGAAGTTCCCATCTGAGTGCTTCAGCTCCTTCAGAATCACAACCTGAAAATACAACAGCAGTGTTCATACCTATATGTTCAGTACCACTGATTGATTTGAAAGCCACTGCAGGATGTTGTGTCCAGCTACCTTCTTATCATACAACGCACGGCGGATCTTGAAATCCATGGTTTTCCTCTCGTCTTCAATCTGAGTGGGAAATATGAAGGACATTTTAACAGAGCAAACATGGCAGTTTTTTCTTCTTTCAGTGTGTGTCCTACTGCATTCATGTTTAAGAATAAGGTCAGCTCGAGCACTTTATAGAGAACAAATTGTTAGAAAAGGGGTGAGTTCTGTAGAAAATTAGCCCGAGCTGGAGTTTTCACTTGATCACAGATTTCTGACTGAAGGATGAGCTTCAGTGTCTCATACAGGTTAGTCAGTGAGAGAGTTTTGACTAAGCCTGCACTCTATTTACCTTAAGGGAGATGACATTGAGTTCATTGTTCTCCAGCAGTGTGATAAGATCAGAGGCGATGTGGGACCAGCGCTTCCTGAACAGGCGGTCTCTCCTGTTCTGTCTACACAGGAGAGAAATAACATTAGGAAGTATAAAATGAACCCACAAAGATGTGCAAGGTAGTATTTCTTATTACATAAAATTTCTTATTACATAAAATTTACACAAAAATTTACACAAAAACAAAAATAAATTATTTTGAATTGTTGAATGCAGACATACTCTTAAAACATGTGCTTGCTTGTAGCAGGTTAGTGGCCACATTGCTACACTTTTTTGTTTGTTACTGCCACCAACCAGGAATGTGTTTCTTGCAGGATGCAAACAAAATGGGGGACCACTGTTAAAACATTGCTCCACTGGTGGTGGCAAATTCCATCAGGTCGTCACTGTTTACACTGTAGTCAACCAGTCAACACTGTAGTCAGCCAGAAAAATCTACAGTTCTAATTTCTGTTATTTCAAAATAATCCAATACTCATGTTTCATAGGGAAATTTTATTGACATCTGTCTAACGAACATAAACGAATTAAACAGTCCTCACTTGTTTGGTGGTTCAAATGTTGTTTTAAAAAAAATTGTTAATTTTAAATGTGCAGATCGTTCTAAGCTATTGTTTGCTTTCCTCGTTTATCTTGAGCATAATGAAAACATTTAACTATGATCTGCCATGGAAACTGTGTCTGAACCTGGACTTTTTAGCATTCAACAACTACAGTTCCCATACATTTAGAGAAACTGCATGTGTGCTTTCATAGGCGTTCAGCTCACTCTACCAGTGTGCGGTGATGTCCTTGATAAGAAGTTTTATGCATTAAAGTTGGTCAATCACTCACCTGTAGAAAATGAAGGCAATGGTGGCCACCACGACCACTGTAACAGCCAACACGATGACGAGGATGTCATGAGCTGCAGGGCCTGATAGTGTGAGTGAAAACAAACAGTTATTTAATTTTTTTATATTTAAAGATCCCCTCCAGACTGTATTAAGCCATATGTATAAATAGTCTGCTTGGAACAGTAATGTGTAAGTAAAGTAAAGTATAGTAATTGTTATAATTTACACATTCAAATCCATAAAAGACATCTACTCCTTCCACCTCATTAAAAATGCCAGAAGTCCATTCTCAATATATGTGTACTAGAGGCTTCAAGTTTCTACATCACACTGTATAAGTTGAAAATTGGACTCATTGAAGGGAAGGTTGCATTCGTAGTCTCCTAGATCTGCTGGGTCTGTCTGTTATTGGGTTTATCATTCAGTCACTGGTTGACTACAGTGTAAACAGTGACGACCTGATGGAATCTGCGACCACCAGTAGCGCTATGGAGCAATGTTTTAACAGTGGTCCCCCATTATGTTTGCATCCTGCAAGAAACACATTCCTGACACCAGTTTCATTCTTTACACTGGTCAAAAGTTGGTGGCAGTAACAAACAAAAAAGTTTACCAATGTGGCCACTAACCTGCTACAAGCAAGCAAATGTTTTAAGAGTATGTCTGCATTCAACACATTTGATATACACAGTGGGTTTCGGTGAAAAACAAAATGTCAACATGACTAAGTTTTGAAATCTAAAACGGCTACCATTGATTCATGACATGGTATAAAGGGTCAAAGATGGGTTGAACCAGTGCTTTTTTGTGAAAGTGTTTCCAAGCTGATTTGAACTTTACTAAATGCAACCCAGTTACAACAACAATATACATAAATACTTCACTGAAGGTGAAGGTTTTAATCTGGTTTAGTTTCTATTTGTCATGAAAGGATAAAAAAATCTTTTTAACAGTATTATGAAACAGAGACACCACTCCAAACTATAACTGTAAAACAGTAAAACCTAGAAAAAAAAAAAGGTTCCGTCTTTATGACACATCTGGAGCTCAGATCATTGTACTGCAGACTAATAGTCAATCTCACTGACAGCCAGTCGTGACTTCACACTGTCACCTGTCTCACTCACGGTCAATGTGCGTAGGAAGTTTATGATTATAGGTTGTGACGGCCAGCTGACACTATCAGACTGGTTGTGGCTCTGTTTGTGTGTGTGTGTGTTTTAGCTGTACCTCTGTCTGGTCTGAAATTAGGAAGTCTTTTTCCCCAGATGAAGGACGGGTTTGTCTCAATTAAGTTGGTAATGTTGTACTCGGTGTTGAATGTGAACAAAGTTTTATACTGAGGACCACAAGAGGAGAAAATTGTTGGTATATTTAAAGATCTTTGTGAGATATTGCTAAGAAAACATAAATATTTGAAACAAAATACCTTGTTGTCAGTAGTGGTGTAAATGATTGTGAGATTCACGTCCCTGTCTCCATGCTTGTCCAACTTGTAGGTTCCAGCAATTCCTGAGCAGAGTCATAAAAACATCTTCACACACACAAACACTTCAACAGAAGGAAAGGGACTTCTCTATGAGTGTGTTTCTCAATCACACACTCACACCCAATTACGCACAGGCTACTTGCAGCTGCACCCTGCAGGCTATAAAACCTCATCACTTAATCTTGTCAGTGAAAAACATAAATCAGTTGATAGCAGCTGACAGCTTCAGTCTGTTTGGCTTCACGCACAACAGTAACCTATGTCAGCTCTCAGGGTCACTTTCAGAGCCACAGAGGTCGTGCGTACAGCTGTACCTGATGGGAATGTCATCTGCTTTTCAGGTCAAATCAAAGTAGAGGAAAACATTTTTGTGTTGATTGATGATTGTTGATTTGATGATTGCCTTTGTGCCTTTTGAGTTATCACTTTGTTCTTTATTCGTCTCCTTCCTTGTTTTTTATCTTCGATCTAAGTTTTGCATTAAAATGATTTATTAAGCATAAAAAGATAACACACCCACAGCTAATTGCTAGTACGAAAGTTAAAGGTGGGCAGTGTTGTAGCATTTAGTGGCATCCAGCAGCAACTCTCCTGCAAATCACTTTACCCTCCTCTTCCAAGCACGAAGGAGAAACAACGGTGGGTGTAAAAAAAGTTAACGCCCCTATCTACAGTCGGTGGTTGGCTTTTCCATTCTGGGCTACTGTAAAAACATGATGGTTCAATATGGTGGCTTTCATGCAGGGCGGCCCTTGGAGTCTGTAGATATAAACAGCTCATTCTAAGGTAAAAAACACACAACAATTCCTAAGTTCATTCCTATGTTTTCATCCTTACTGATGAAAACATACCTATGAATATTATATTCAATTTCTGCCAAAAGATCCTCCTAAATGTTACACACTGCACCATTAAGTACATTAAAGGTTAATATTAATTTTACTTTCATTTCATCTCTTCTTTCCTCCACTTATCTCCTTCTCTATCTCCTTCCTTACCATTAAAGGAGATGTTTCTGGAGTAATTCGCACTGACATACTCCATTTGCTGCATCTCAGATAGATTTTTTGCAATAATGTCCTTCATCACATTGCCTACCAGCAGTACAGCATCGTGGTAAGCAGCCATGTAATCATTCATCTGCAGAAAGAGACAGAGAGAGAGAGAGAGAGAGAGAGAGAGAGAGATAAACAAATTCAAGATTGGAACTTCTTTCTGTAACAGCTGTTAACACATTTCTTAGGTTGTTCAGAGGAACAGGAGCGCTGATGCTGGAAAGAGATGTTTCTGTTGAATGTTTTAAATGTACTCTTTCAGTGCTGAGCACCACCAAAATAATTCACCTCCACTGTATCGGGATGCATGTAGGAATCTCATAGACAACCTAGGCAAATAAAACCAAAACTATCTGTGTGTTTAATACAGATATGAGTGAGTGACCCTTGGCAAGACAGATCATTGAAGAGAAAATATCAAACAGTTCCTTTAAAATATGGGAAAAGGAACAAGAAGGTTGAGTAATCTGGAGATCCTGTGTTCTCACCGTGTTGTTGTTTTTAAGGTCTGTGTTAATTGTGTAGTTTCTGGTGTTGGGCATAGTCGCCACCAACACGTTCTTCATGAATGGCAGTGACGTTGTGTTGGTGTAGTATATATCGCTGTGGAGAGGAAACAAGAATATTATATATATATAATATAAACACAACTGTCAACTTAAATTATCAAATGCCATTAGTATGAATTAGAAGAAAAATTACATTTTAAAATGTGTCATATAGTGTTTATCAGTGGTTCCCAACCTTTTTTGTCAAACACACCTGACCAGACATTATTTAACCATTAATGAGAGTGGATATAATAGTGGATGTCAGACTTATATTTATATATGAATATTTAGGTTTGTTTGCTTAAGTTTGCATTTGTATTACTACCACTTGGAGTGTCAGAAGCTGGACGTTTTTAACATGTATCCATTACTTTATGCCAATTATTTCTTCATTACTTTGATGTACTTTACTTTACCATTATTTATCTATGAATGCATACTATTATTTAAACCTGATACAGTTTTAAAGTTATTAAGAAACAGTCTCAAATGGATTCTGATTCCTCTGTATGACCTACATAAACAAACAAGACCATCAGCAAGAACATTGGCTATTTCTACGTTAGTTATATTTTAATTTCTGCCACCAGGTCAGATTCCCCTTGATACCTATTAATTTAGGCGGTTGAGAGGGCTGCCAGAATCAACACAAAAGGAAAGTTCCTTGTCGGTGCTTTATCTATTTATTACTTGTAGCAAGCTAACTAGTAACCAATAATTACTTTTAGCTAATTATTTCAACCATTACTTTAAGTGTTTTCAACTCTGTATCCATTACTTTTAGCTAACTATTGCAGCCATTCATAACGTTAAGCTCACTGTTTCTTTTTGCTTCCCAACTTTCATGCCCAATATTTTTATATATTTATTTAATCAAATTTCTGTTTTATCAAATTACTTTAAGTACACCAGACCAAGGATGCAAGTAACACTGGTTTGGAATCACTGCTGTATACTATATGCCAAAGAGGAGATGTAGAGAGAATAGAAAAGAGATCAAATGAATAAAGAGCACTGACTTGTAAAGATCAATAAGGATGAAGAGAATATCACTGTTGTCGGCCTCTTTGGTGCCATTTTTCACCTCCAGTATGTCCATTGGTGATCCACAGAATATGAACACTGCAAAGACAGAAACTGTATGTAACACCACAGACCAGCAGTGTGTCCATTTTTTGCATAGCAGCCTCAAAGGGAGTCAAATATTCTGACCCTGATTTTCATTTAAATTTCCGCTTCAACCTCAAAACCAAAGTTAATACCTAACCCAAATGCCCTCTTTTATAGCTACATCAACATCAAAGCAAAAGCTGTGGTATGTTCACATGTTCACATCCCCTGCAGTTTACCATGATATATTTGGTACCTTTGGAAAGGACAGTTCTGGACAAAGTTAATAGGTAGAGTGGTTTAAAGTCTCAATGGTTGTTGAGACATTTATGGTCATACTTTGCATGTCCAGAGTGGGGAAATTGTCATTATTAACCTCTGAAAGTCAAACTTACTTTCTTCAAGCAGCTGGAGATTTTTTGTACATCAGGTGGGGCAGTGCCTGCCACTAACTGGCTGAGATATCCCTCTCTGAGGTTTCTGTCTCAATCCAGTACAATATTGAGGTGAATGGAATTATTTTAGTTTTTATAGGGATTATTTTATCCTTTCATCTCATCAAGAGGTTTTGTTTTGTTGTTGCTTTAAATACTGTGAGCATATAAATGAAGAGTTGAGCAGTTGAGCAACAACACACAAACAGTGAGGACCAAAAAAGTACACGAGTATTGATGTCTGTAAGAGGTTTCAGAACATTAATATAGCAGAATGTGTTATGTAAAGCTATAATGGAGTCATCCAGTGGAGCCCACACTGCTATCGCAACCTCTCTCTGGTTTTTGTTTAGTTTTCTGATCGGTTTTGAGCTGAGAAGAGCAACTGAAACTGTTCTTTTTCTCCTCTGTGTTGGTGAATCAAGGATTAATTTTGACCAAAGCAGAGTTGGTGATTGTTGTGGAAAACAGTGGAAAGTCTAACAAGGACAGCTTTGGCGAGTTTTATTTTGTTTCTGTCCACTATGAGTGAAGTTATGATGTTACAGTAATATGCATTTGGAGTCTGGTACCAAGTGATGGCAGTATTAGGGCTGTTTCTGGTTAACAAAAGGTATGTCTCTGTAAGTATCTTTTCCTCAATGTTTTCAGACATTTAGAATAACAATCTGAGCCTGTTCGTTGCAAAAACAAGCACTTTTAGTGCACATAATTTGATGGGTGCCCCTGTCTAAACTACTGTTTAAAGCTTATATGGTGGCTATTGCAGCCATTTTCACGAATATTTTCACGAATATTTTGACATTTCAGGGTTTATTGTGACCAAACTAGCATTGGTGATCGTTGGAAAGACAAACAAAGATGGCTTTGATGAGTTTTATTTTATTTCTGTGCACATCCAGTGGGAAGTGAATTTCAAATACATAACCTTTAAGGAGCGCCTGGTTTCCCCTTATTTGGCATGAGATTTGTTAGGGCAGCATGAGGCAAGACTTAGGTGTCTCAAGCCGAAACCATGAGAGTAAACATTCTTGTATAAGTAATACTTTTAATGTCATGTTCATTTGATGTCATGTGATGAACTGAGTGTTAAAATATCCAGATTCATAACCAGAAACTATAATGTTCTGTTATATGTTATTTTTCATGTTGTGCAGAAACTGCACACTACATTTATTTTTGTGTGAGGTGCGTGTTTTCACAGCAATATTAACCACCATTTTTGTCTTCTACTCCCTGAAACGAATGCTCCTTCTCCGCTGTTTGGGAAACAGTATATGTTGCATACCTTACTTTCAATTTGTCACCTTGTCTTTTCACCTTAAAAGTGCAGACAGCTTGTAAAACAGAATGTAAAGTAATTACATACACTTCCATGTATGACAATAGCTGTACAGTAAAATCAGTCAAGGAGATGTGTGTTGTACGTATTTTTAAAAAGACTTACGGTTGCTTGTCCTGTTGGATGATGTAAGTACCTTTTTCAGGTCGTCTAATTTCAACAGCACCGTGCTCTGAATACTCAGAGGAAACATGCCTGCATCCAGAGCATTTATATACCTGCAGAAGAAAATCACCACATAAAAAACAAAAGATTTACTAAGCCATGTGACAGACTGTGATATCACTGTTTTGTTCTTCTACCTAAGTATTTCTGTTACCAAAAACTTGGTTCCATATTTTTCTCTCACTGTTATGATATCACAAACACTAACACATTCAGATTAGTCACCATGATGATTATAAACTAACATGACCAACTGTGCAGGAGAACTAATGTTTGTCAGACTTTGGAAGACAGCCTCTCATTTTCTTGTCAGTCCTTCACATTGTATTTAATGTCCTGAAGCTGTTCACATTCAGATAAAATGCTAAAATGTAGGTGCAACATGATCACAAGCAGCCAATGTCAATTCACACAACACAAGATATCCCCCCTTCTGTTGTAGATGTGAAGTAAAAAGGCAAAATTACAACATCAGAACACTTTCTTGTTGCTGAAACGCATAAACTAAACGGGCCTGAAGCCATTCCCCTGCAAAATGAACAACAGCTGCAAAAAAAGAAGAAAAGACCTGCCATTGCAATAAACACTTGATAGTTTAGTAAAGTCAGAGTACATATACTGTAATTCATTCACAAAAGTGGTAAATGGTAAAGGGACCTGTACTTGTATAGCGCCTTTCTAGTCTTCCGACCACTCAAAGCGCTTTTACACTACGTGCCACATTCACCTTTTCACACACAGTCACTGA